TCACCGCCTGTTCTCACAATCTTGTGATGACATCCCACCTTATTTTCCGCTTGTGCTCCCCTCCGTTTCGCCGTGTTCAACCCACTTGTTTCCCTGTTGTGCCCCATCCGTAACCGCACCTCACTGAGGTTATCCTCCTGTGTTCACCCCACTTGCGCTTAACGCCCGGTGCTGTGCTCCCCCTCTCATATCCGCACCTATCATGCCCCCGCTCAACACCCCCTCCCTTTGTGCACCACACCTGTGCTCACCCCCATTTTCTAACACTCGAGGCTTCACAATACAACAAGACAACTGCATGGTTTCATTTATAGAGCGCCTTTCACGTCGGGAGGACATCCCAATACGATGGACAGTTGGTTCCGGACCCGAGCAGGTGGGAAATGGTCAGAGTGAAGGGAGGGAGTAGGGGGTAGACAGTCGAGAGGGTTGCTGAAGGCACGGTCGAAGAGAATGGTCTTGAAAGCTACCTTGAGGAAAGGGGGAAGCAAGACGAAGACACTGCAGGATGGAATTCCAGAGCCTAGGTGCTGAGCGGCTGAAGGCCCGACCACCGATGGTAGGGCTGTTGGGGTGGGCGATGAGAGGAAGACCGGAGCCAGAGGAACGGAGTGTACGGGCAGGTAAGTAGGGGGCTAGTAGTTCGGAGACGTAGGAAGGAGCAAAGCGTGAATGGCCTTTTAGGTGAGGATGAGTATCTTGAATTCGATCCTCTGGTAGATGGGGAGTCAGTGAAGGCGAGCGAGGGTGGGAGTGATGTGGTCCCGAAGCCTGGTGCGCGACAGTACACGAGCTGCAGAGTTCTGAATGACCTGCAGCTTGTGGAGGGAGGTGCCGGGAAGGCCGGCGAAGAGAGATTTCCCATAGTCCAGCCTTGAGGTGATGAAGGCAATATTGCTCAACCACATGTGTTCCCGTCCTGATAAGCTCCCCCACTGTAATCACCCTTGTACTTTTGCTCTCAACACTGCGTTCAACTCGTCTGTGCTCACCCCACATTGCCACGTTGCCGCCACCCGTTGCTCCCTCGCCTTTCTGCAACCCTGCATGTGCAACAACGCTCCATGTGCTCACCCTCCTGTAATAACCGCCATTTTATCACGCCCCCCTGTACTCTCGCCTACGTTCACCCACTTGTGTTCTCACGACTTTGTTCACAAATTCCTTCCATGTGCTCCCCCCTTCTTTTGTATACCATTCTCGCTCAACCAACCCCCTCCACTACTGCGGTCGCCACTCCCCCTTAATCACATCCACTGTGCTCAGTCAACTATGCTAACCCGCCTGTTGATCCCCTTTGCCCCGCTGTGATCACACCACCTGTGCTGAAACCATTCTACTCCCCTTATTTTTTGAACTCCTCACCTTTGCTCAGTCTTCGGACAGTCGTCCGATCCACTGTGCCTTGGATTTAATTCTGGCTGCCCTCTCCGCATTCATTCTCCTTGTGCTAACTTGAATCGTGTACTTCACACGTATTGACAGGACCAGTGTTTGCGGGACCTCCTCCTCTTCCTCTCCAAGGTTCCCACTACTCTGCTCACTGACAGTAGCTCCGTCTTTTTCCTGTACCTGTGATTTGTTATGGGGTGTGACCGAGTTCAGGATAAAGCTAACCAGAAACTCCCGCCCCTTTCTTTTTACTTGTAGTATGTCCAACTCACACTGCAGCTCAATGAACCTGCTGCGGATTTTATCAAGCCAGAGACAATTGATGCAGGAGTGATTTTCCAAGAAAGTCTCGCAATCCACAAGCTCTCACATATTGCGGTCTCGACACACTGCCTGTGCTATTATTTCAACTTATAATTGATCAATTAACTATGTAGTTCACTTCACACCTTCCTACGCCTCTGCACCTCGTTCCCACTCTCACCCAGTAACTTTTCAATCTGGTATTGTCTTCCTCCAGTCGCAGCTCACTCCAGAAGGCTCTGCTCGATTAACAACCTGTACTTGATTCCCTCGCTCACCACGTTCAAAACCCATCGAAGCACAGTCCTCTTTGACCGAGTTGTCCAACTCCTGCTTGCTACACAGACATCAGTGACACAAGCTTTAAGTTATGTTAGAAGCTTTTGACTATCTTTACTAATGTCAACTGAGAGGATCCTTGCTTGATAACCTTGTTTCTGTAAGCAATAACCTACCACCAATTTGTCAGAGCACACCAGGGTCATTGAAACATCGGCTCTTTATAACAGTCTTCATCTATTTATAAAATGCTTGGTCTGTGTAAAACTGACATCGTCCCTTTACAGCTTGCCATGTTTCTGTTTCACAGACCTGGTATCCGAATGAATCACCTGGTATCTGCATAAGAAGCCTGATAACTATATAGAAGGCCTGGTTTGTATTATTGACCTGATCTCAATTTAGCATGCATGGTGTTTGGATGACGGTCTTGTTCACTGTATAAAATGCCTGGTGTCTGTACAACCCGGCAGATATCTGTATAATAGCCCCCATCTCTGCAAAATAAGCTGGCCTCTACGTATCCGGCCTGGTCTGCGTTTCACAGACCTGATCTCTGTATAACAGGTCGCCTTTCTTTAAAACAGGCCCAATCTCTATATAACAGTCCTTATCTCCATAGACAATGCCTGATCTCTGTATAACTGGCGTGGTTTCCTTATAACAAACACGGTCTCATTATAACACGCCTTAATTTTGTACAAAGATTGGGTCTACTAAACAGGCCTGGTGTCTGTACAATGGCCTAGTGTTTGTACAACTGGCCTGAGCAGTGTGTAACAGCCTTAGTCTATTTGCAACTGGTATTGTCTCTGTATTATAGGTCTGGTGTCCGTATAACAGGCCAGCGCTCTGTATTACAGCCCTGTTCTCCATTTAAGAGGCCGGTTTTATGAATATCACGCCTGGTGGTTGCATAGCAGGCCAGGTGTCTGTATAACATCCCTGCATTCTTATAGCCGGACTGGTGTTTATATAACTGGCCTGATCTGTGTATAACAGGCCTGGTCTCTGTGCAACAGGCCTCTTGTCTCTACTATGGGCCTGGTCTCTGTTTCAAAGGCCTTTTTATGTATAACGTACCAGGTGTCGGATAAGATCTTAATATGTTATTAATAAGAATCCTTCTCTCTGATTAGCTGGCCTGGGTGCTGTAAAACAAGCTTGGTTTGTTTACACCAGACCAGGTCTCTGTATAAAAGCGCTGTTCTCTGTAAAATTTATCTGGTCCCTGTATAACAGGCTGAGCTGTACATAACAGGCCGTGTCTCTGTATAACATGCCTGGTCTTTGTGTAATAGACCAGTTTTCTTTAGAACAGTCTGGCTCTCTGTAAAATAGGCCGGGCTTCTCTATAACGGAACTAGACTCTCTATAACAGGCCTAGTCTCTCCAATCAAGCATGATTTCTACATAACAGGCCTGATGTCTTTATAACAGGCCTTGTGTCTATATAACAGGCCTGGTGTGTGTATCACCGCTCTGGTGTCTGAATAACAAGCCTCGTGTCTGTATAACAGTTCCGGTCTCCCTGTAGCAGGCTTGTTCTCTGTATAACAATCCTTTTCTCTGTATAACAGGCGTGGTCTCCCTATAACAAGCCTGTTCTCTGTATAAGATGCCTGGTCTCTATATAGCTGACCGTATTGGTCATGATCATTTAGATATGTGTATGATGGGCCTGGTCACTGAATAACAGTCTTGGACTGTGTTTAAAAGGCCTAGTGTCTGTATAACTGACCTGATCTCATTATAACATGTCTGGTCTCTATACAACTGACCATAATGTTGATGATCATTTAGATATGTGTATGTTAGGTAAATAATGAAGATGTGTGAATATCGATAGATGTTCTGCAACAAGTGTAAACACTGCCTTTTTAGCATCATTCAATAAGAAAACTAATTATTTGTTTAGGACGGGCCGTTCGTTTTGTTTTGTGGATTATCAGAGGCTCCTGCACTTCTGCACAGTTAGGAAAATATACTTTTAAGTAAACAACTCAACCCTGAGAACACATATTCTCGATAATTCGATAATCTATGTGTCAAATTGGGTAAAATTAGTTCAAATTTGCAGCATTATGTTTGTTGCTTGGACTGAAGCTGGGAGCTGCCGGTGGTGGAAGCTGCCGGTGGTGGGGAGGGAAAAGATGATTGATACCTGGATCAATCAGGCTAAGAATTGGGAGGCTTGAGACAGATAAATGGTATCCAGAAATCAGTATTAAGTGTAATGTTAGACAGTTAGTCCTTTGGCTTTGTGTATCTGTGATGGTGTAACATTTTAACTTCCGCTGTTTCTTACGAACTTCAGAAAACACAGTTTCGAAAATTTGGCCATTAACCAAAACCGCTTGTTAGGAATTCAGGCAATTGTTGTTGAGAATTGCTATGGGAAGCGTACCAGACACAGTCATTACACGAGCCGCCTGCGGGCATTGCAGTACACACAGTCACTTACTGGCCTCCTATGGGCAACAAACACAGGCACGATACTAGCCTGTCATGGGGAATGTATCGCACACACAGTCACTACACTAGCTTATCGTTATGCAGTCATATTGTTTAGATCACCTGCCTTACTCGCGAGATGACATGGGTTTGATTGCCGGACAGGGCAAAAGCTTTGGCATATTCCATTACTACACACACACGACTTTCTTTTACTTTCAGTAAGAAGGAAGCAGCTTGATAGTCAACCGACAGGCAGACAGGCAGAGAGTCAGAGAGACAATTAGAGAGAGAGAGAGAATTAGAGAGAGAGTGAGAGAGAGAGAGAATTAGAGAGAGAATATCATAGGGTGAGAAAGAAACAAAAAGACAGAGTGGGAGTGAGCAAGTGAGAAAGAAAGAGTGGGACAGTGAGCGAGACACCGAGAGGGTGTCACAGAAAGCACGACAGTTTGGCAGAGAGACAGAGCGAGAGAGACACACAGTGTTACTAACACTTGTCTATTCTCTTTTCCAGGATCCTGTGCCTTCCGCTTTGTCTTCTTTATTCCCTTTCTTGCTCCTCTCACCACATGCCTTTGCCAGATACCCCCCCCTCCCTCTCTTCCTCTGTCATCATCCATCCGTTCTCTGCCTCCGCCATCCACACTCTGATACGAGATGGAGTGACCGAAAACATCTGTCCATCCTTCCGTGTGGCTATGTGTTCGCCCGGTGGCTCATTGCACCTCTTGCTAATCGCCACTTTCACTTCACTCATCACCTCGTACAGTGCGGACATTCTGTCGGCCATCTTGGCGGCCATCCTGGCTTCCGGGGCCTATTCCTTAGCCGTTTGGGCCACCACGCGCCGTTTCCACTGGCAATTCATGCAGGAGCTCTTGTCGGGGGACCTGGAGATCCGGCCAGGCCGGTCGGTGTGGGTGGGTTGCATTGGGGGCAAAGTAGTGGGTTCTGTGGCCATTGAGGCCGATAATCGCACTCACTCCCCTTCCCCTCGTGTTTGCTGGTTCTGTTCATTCTATGTGAATGTCTCCTGGCGCAGATTAGGTGTGGGACAACTTCTGGCCCAAACCGCGCTCCGTCACGCACGCAATTCCGGTTATATCGATGTCTATCTAGACACCTTTCACACCCGGCGAGATGCTCCAAATTGTATGGCAAATTGGGCTTCCGTTTCTTGGGAGACATACCCCGATCTCATCCCAGATGGTGGAAGAGCTTTGTTTATGCTAAAGGCCTCCGATACTCCCTCTCAATCCAGGAAATCCTCCCGAAGTGAAACGCGCTGTTCAAATGTCATCTTGTTTTTGTTGTTGTTTTTCCTGCTGTTGATATGCCTTGGAGATGCAGCTTGGGGCCCACACACGTTCTGAGGCCTAGGTAGCCTTGAGGTCCATTAATTGATGAATAGCGTGTGTGCAAGTAAGGAAACCTGCCCACTTACGGTAAGCATCCTTGTCTTTGTAGAGTGCTTAAGCACCGAGTTCAAGCGGTCACAGAGCGATTCACGGAATATCGTGTAAAGTGTAGCGATTGTGAGTTTTGTGGTTGATCGCGGCAGCCAATTGTGGACAGCGAAGTCACACAAATATTCGTGGATTCAATGAGCACATTGTTATTATTACAGAGAACGGAAGCTTAGAGGTTAATGTCCTCGCCGCACAAACAAGAGGAACAGGGTTCGATTCCTTTGTGAGGCGAAACGATACGCAAATTCCTTTTGCAAATTGCCTGTCACGTTTCACCCACGAAACAGACGCCACTACACTTCACATATTATCCCGCGAAATGATCAAAGACGTGGTACAGTGCTATAACATATCCAAGGGTGATTACTGTAGAGGTACTTCCTGTCAGTATCAGATTTTACTGATATTAACAGACATATACCGATATCTTCGGTGCTCTCAAATCACTGCCCCATCTCCCAACCTTCCTTTCCTTTCCAAGGTCCTTGAAAGTTACGTTGTTTGCCAGTTTCTCTTCTCCCTCTCCCGCCACTCCCTGAACGATCACCTAGAAGTGAGTTTCCACGCTGCTCATAGAAACTGCCCTGTTGCCGTTAGTATTGTTGGCCATTGTACCTTCCTCCACCGCCTCTCCTCTCTCATCTCAACATTCGTGTTCCTGTCCTTGAGTGGTTCAAATCCTACCTTCCACAACATCTCTGCTTTGTCTACATGAAGGTATCAAAAACTCCTCTTGGACCACGCCTTAGGTCACACTCCTGACATTGGTGACGTCAGGACAGAGAAGAGCAAACTCAATTGAATACTCATTTGAATTAAGAATGGTTTACGTTGCAATGTTACCTTTGTTTGTTGCATGTTATTCTTTCGGTCATTTACAACCGAAATCTACCAGGAACTGTTAAATGATTTCGTTGTCAGAAAGAGGCTTGATTTACATTTAACCTGATAGTCTGCGTTAATGTGTATAGTGTGAGTGTAAGATAACAGGCACAAGTGGATGAAACACTACCTTTTTTGGCGGACAGCAGAGTTGTACCTTGGAGGTTCTTGTAATAAATGTGGGGGTAAACTCCCTCTACTCAAACCATTAATTGCGAGCATTTTATGTAATAGAATCATACGTAACTTAAGACTTGGATTTTCCGTCAAAATATATGCCTGTGTCCATTAAATAATTGAAATTGATTTCAAGAAGTGGGTGTTTTAAACGTGTAAGTATAAACGGGTTATTATTTTTGTCTTCTCTCGTAGCTCCCATGGGCTTCAACTTTTCTAACAATTCTATCATGTAGCACTCTCTCAAACGCCCTTTCAAAGCCCTTATATCCAATACGAACTGCATTGTCCCAGGAGGTAAGTGGCATCTCCATGACCGTAAGTGATTTAAATTGTGAGTTATGAGGTATTGTTTAATCAAACTTCAGGAGTACCCAAACGCAGACAATGGTTAAACAAGGCTTTGCTATGGCCAAGCTGCGTTAACCACTGCTTGCTTCCACCCAGGAAAGAAGATGGTATTGGAGAATTGCTCATATTATATTGGAGTGCCAGCCCATACACGAGTCATGAAACGGCAACCTTCTGAATCAGTGCTAAAAACTAATGCAGGGGAACACCAAAATAAAGAAAACTATGTTTCCGGCCAGATTTTTAACTTGGAACATTTCGTGTGTGACATGAACGTGTTAACAGCTGCATTAGGGAAACCTGTCCAAAGCCACCTGCTAGATCTATCCTTAACTGAATATTTTATTTGTTTATTGATTCAACCCAGATTTGCAGAATCAGAGATGGTTACCGTGGTATTCAATAAGTAGCAGTCACCTACTTACTGCTATGTAAACAGTCGTGTAGAGTAAGGAATCTTGTCTAAAATTTCGACCTGCCTGGAATCAAATCCAGGTTTCTCTCTTGCGAGGTGAGCAGTCTAACCACTGAGCAGCAAGACTCCATAAGTTGGAATGCAATGTGCACTCTCTCCCTTTGAGGGACACACCCTGCTTACCTAATTCCGGAAAATATTAGGCGCAGGTTAGCAAGATCCAAGGCTAGAGGACCCCAGATGTGCATTGGGATAACTGTTGGAAGCTAACTGGCTAAAACAAACCATTGATATCGTTGTTTGTACGTCCAAATTTCCCGCTGCTTATTGCCAGTATTTGAGAGGCTTCCCTGATTGAGGCATGGTAAAGAATGAACGACCTGACAATCCCAATTGGGTGTAACACGGTTTATTGTAACATAAGTGGGAACATGAATATAACACCAAGAAGAAAATTACAGACACGAAGCCGTATTAACCGGTTGTTGAGCCTGAACAGCAGCCTGACATGTCGCTCAGATCTGCATCTCTCCCGCTCTCGTGCTGGTACTGCTGTTCGGGATCTAGTCCGGGGTCATCGTTTATAGTGCTAACAGCTTGTTTCTTTGCACAAGCGTTGTCCCTTTTCCCGTGCATGTTTCCGCTATGATATTTGTTACGTGTTCTTCAATATCTCTATAAAGCACAGCGGTTCAAAATAAAATCACAATGACTTGCCCAGTGGCAGAGCAACTGATAACTTCTTGGTCTGCTATCCATCTGACCAGCCTGTGTGAATTACAACTTAACATATTAATGCTATTAAAAACAAACGTTTGACTGCTTAACGTATCACTGCTATTTTGACAACTTTTTCGCTTGTTAACAATCCACGTGACATATCGACGGGAAGAAATAACATATCGTATGTCGTAACATTGTCCATCTGGTACAACCCTACCCATTGCGGCTTTGGCTCGCAGGTTTACCAGGAGCTGAGTGTGATGACTCGGTGCCACCAGTGACTGGTCGGTGCTTTCAGGTCCTGTCGATGAACCACGATGGGATGTGTTCTCATGAGCAGTGTCCTGATATACTGGGAACCCGCCTTGCTCAGGAACCGGCCTTGAGCCGACACAGGGGCAGATTCCATTCTAGCATCCCAGTTTAGCTCCAAGGAGACGCTGCATATATTCACCTTGAGGGGGATCATCAACCGTTGCTACTTCGCCATCCAACACGCGCAGGTTTCAGCCCTCGATATGTAACAGGAACTCCCTACGATCTTTCCGTAGAGAATACATCTCAGCATGAAATTGTGGGGTCCTGCAGCTTGGTGGTTGGAGCACTCATCTTGCAAGCACATTCCAGCGTCTTACACACATATGCGTACAACGCCATCCTCAGCACTGGGGACACATTGCAGCGATTCACACACTAGCACAGCGCCACGCTCACCACTGCGGGCACATTAGAGCCTCTCTTTCTCTCTCTCCCTCACACAGACACAAACACACAATCACACACAAACACACATACAGCCTCATCCTCAACACTGAAGGCACATTACAGCTTCTTATGCACATTATGCACACAGAGCGTCTCTCTTGGTACTGAAGCCAATGTGCAGCTTCTCCTACACACAGCGCCACTCTCAGCACAGGAATTCTCACACTCACACACACAAACAATGCCATACCCAGCATTAGAGGAACACTACAGCCTCTGTCACACATACAAACACATTGCCACCCTCAACCCTGGGGGCACATTACAGGCTATCTCACACTGACATACACACACGCACACAGTGCCAGCAACAATACTGGACGCATTACAGCCTCTGACACACATACACATACACACGGCGCCACCCTCAGCACTGGGGGCACTTTACTAATGAGACACACCGTCCGCCTCAGTTCATATTGTAGTGAACTGCAGTGTATGCATGGCTCACTACTTTTTTCTTTTGCTCAGCTGTGTCTTAACGTGGAACTAATAACGATTGGAAGTATCCAAGCTAAACCATGAATCTTCTGTGCAACCGACCTAAACATGGGAATTCCCATTTATTGGAATTCAATGTGAACTCTCTCACTGGATGAATGCATTCTGGCTAACCAATTAAAGCCAATATAAGGAGTAGCATTCCCAAATGTACTGCCTTTCTGAATATACAGAGCTTTCGCTCACCTTCTTGAATAAAAATATCCAAACCGCAGATGATGCTATTTAGTGCACTGCCTGGCAAACTTTCCAAGTACTTGTGCAATATGGATTACGTTAGTGTTTCCCTTCCAGAAACGTAACATTTACGAAGAGACTTTTCAAATCGGAAGGATGTCTTGAAGCGCTCGACACGGCGGAATGACCACTAACATGAGACTGGAAGCTGAAGGAGGTGGGGTGGGGAGGGTAAAAGCTGAGTGAAAGCGCAATCAAACAGCTAAGTCTGACAAAAAGGTCATCGATCTGAAACACTAACTCACTTTCCTCTCTGCATAGGTCTGTCCTGACCCGCTGAATATTCCCAATGACATTTGATTTTATATTAGTTTAGTTTTGACGTGGTTAGAAAGCGAGACGCAGGGATACCGTGCAGCTCCAGCAATGGAGCTTCAGAATGTGGGGTAAAATGGTGATGTGGGTCAAATGGGATGGGGGGAAGTGAGTAAGCTGCACGACACGTTTCATGCTTAGGTCCCCTCACTATCCTTATTTCGCTCTCTCCCTCTCTGCCTGATCCTCTCTCTCTCTCTCTCTCTCTCTCTCAATTACTTAATCTCTCACCCCTCTCTGTCATACACTCACTCACGCACACTCTCTCCCAGTCACTCTCTGTCTCTATCATTTCCCTCTCAAAACCTCGCCTTCGCTGTCGCTCTCAATGTCTCTCCCCGCTTGCACGCTCAGCGAGTACACGACTTATGTGCAGCTGGTATTGGCATAGATTGGATCATCTTCCACACCAATTTTACAGCCATTCTCTCTCCTGTTTCGTAACGTCAGGTTGGTGTACGTTTCATCAGCGTCCTGCAAACAGGGCAACAGTCAGTGTACCTGCTAATACCCCATACGGCTCCTCCCCACCGCACCTGGGAGACTCCAGCACATAGTTTCTGTGTCTTTGTGTGTAGGTGTGATACATACATGCACTTAGCATTAAATCTA